CAGTGGCGGTGCGGGTGGAACAGCTTCACGACAAACAGTTCCCTATCGGAGCAGCAGCAGCGGCATCCTCGATGTTTAAAATGACTGTACAGGACTTCTGAAACAAACCCGACCTGACGCCAAGACGCCACCACGCACTGCTCACTCCGCCTGCAGTGACAGTCAACATTGCTGCTCTGACACAGGCAGCTCGTCAAGCACTCTCCGGACCCTTAACCTTACTCCCAACTCAAACCTTAACAAAAACCCCCACACCAACAACACCCGCCATTCACCACTAAGTGGCGGTGACATCACCACGGGCGCCTGTGCCAGGCCAGGTGCACTTTGAGGCCACGTGAAGTGTTGAAGACTCGCCGACAGGTCACGGAGCAGACCCAGCAGGTGCCATGGGCTGACTGAGAAGACTGGCAGATGCCCCCTACTGTGCCAACTTGCTGCATTCTAGCCGCCCGGCGAACACCAACCCTGGCCCAAACACCAGCCCCGTGCCTCACCAGAACCTAAGGCCTCCCTCCTGTCGAGACCCGGGTTCAACCTCCGCCCCCGGCGGGAGGTCGCTGCTCCTGGCGAGTCTGGAGTTGCCTCCCCTCGGCCGGACGCACTGCGCAGACGTCTCAGGTTCGAGCCCTCTCCATGCCCTGCCCATGACGCCCCCCCCCTCTCTCTGCCTGCGAAGCTCTCTCTCCGTGTGGTGTCGTCTTCCCCCGTCTGACACGAACGGACACAAACACAACTCCCAGTGCCCTCCCCTCCACAGACACCAAGTGCGACCCCCTCTCCTCCCGTGTGCCAACTGCGTCGCGCACTTCAGCGCCGTCCCCCACGCTGCGTCTCGGCCCCGAGCGGCATGAGACGCGAGCCCCGGAGTTCGGGCCGAAGGGTTCGATCCTAGAGGCAGTGCAAGGTGGTTTGCCTCGAGGACGCTGCACTTTGCTTCCCCCCCGCTCACCTCCGATTAGCACGATTGTCTACGTACGGTGCGCGAAAGAGGTTCAACGTACATGCATGCACTAGTCTCGCAAGCCGAGTCGCACGCGGCTGTTCGCGCCCTCACCCGGGTGGTGCAGGATGTGGGCTCCTGCAGCAGCTGTGTGTGCTGTATGTTGAACTTCTTTCGCACCGTACGTAGCCAACCGCGCTAATCGGAGGTGTGGGTGAACTTGCTTGGCTGCCGCTCCGTTCCGATAGCGTCCTTCGGGGCCGTCCATATATGACGTCACGCGATTTTTGACGATTTTTGACCCCCCCCGAGTCACATTGCGTCACAAAAAGTCAGACCCCCCCCCCTCAAAGACGTCACAAAGCTCTGCCCCCCCCCCCCCCAAATAAAACATGCTTCAAATAGCTTTAAACTATTGTCATTGTAGTGCGTATTTAATGTGGCGCTGTACTCTGATGTTGTAGGAGAAAACATTTATTAAAAAGTATATTTCATTAAGTAGAACGTGTTGTCTATATGTATTTAAAGTTGCGCATTTTTACGTGACGTCACATTCTCACCCCCCCCCCCCCCTCGTCACACATGTCTGACCCCCCCCCTAGGCACGTGACGTCATTTATGGACGGCCCCTTACCCTGTACTCGAGTCCGTTATTCCATTTTCAACCACAACCGGTGACTGCTTCTTCCAGCAGACGGCACACTGCGACCGTACCAACATGTCATCACCACCACCCGTTTAGTCTTCTTTTCTGAAGAACCGTAAACACTCGAGAATTAGCCCGTAACACCTTCATAGACTATATATTTATAGAACCACAAAACTCTGGAAATTGTTGGTAGCGCCGGGACGCTTTGCCTGGTTCCCCCGGTCGCGTGAGTGAGCGACGGAGTTGATGTTAACGTCGTTCACTGCATTTGTGGTCATTTGGCCTTTCGTCACCATTAATGCACCGGCAATTTATTGACGGGTCAATTGTTGTTGGGAACTCACAATTACCAATGTGTATTTATTAAGGAACTGGTCGTGTTGCGTAATGCATGCGTACAATTTAATAATGGCGACTTCAGACAAGATGACCACAGTGGTTCTTCAGGAACTAGTTTCAAGTGTAAGGCTGAGAGCTGGTTGTACACGCAGTGCACTCGGTATGCGAGTTGTTGCTGTAACATTGACCTGCTCCTCTGGACATCTATATAAAAAAGAGCTTTATAGCTCAGACCCCCCACTATAAATATTCTGATTCTCAGATTATGTTGCTGCGTCTCCAGGCTGCGCTTGTCTTTGTTTTGATGGGTTTCTCAGCATTCACCGATTTGAATCACAGCTGCTGTTATAAGTTACATTCAACACTTCTATAGCGTAAATATCATGCTGCTTCTCATGAACACGAACAAGTGAATTGTGTTTTGCATGTGCCTACACTCCTGTTGCCAATAACATCTGGAAACACAGTAGCATTCGTTTAACAAGCAAGCCTACCGATGAGACCCAGAAAGTCAAAATCTATTTTTTGATGGCCTAAACGTATTTGTTTGTGAATACACAGCATGCAGTTCTGCTTTCATTTGAGTAACGTATGGTACCGTGACTGAAGCACGTGGAACACATTCCTGCGGAGGGAGCTGGTAGGAACGTTGGGTTGCTCGGTCAATGGCCAGGGTCAACGACGGCGTGGTGTATTCCGCAAATATGGCCGACTGTGAGGGAGGGCACAAGCCGGCGTGAGTAGGTTAAACGTTGAGTTTTATAAGGGCACCACGGGGTGACCAGCCCCTCACCACCCAGCCCCACCCCTCCCCACCCAGCCCCTCCCTGCACGACTGTGGGCTGGTGTAACCAGGAGGTTCCTACCAGTAATATCTCACCTGAATCAGGGCCATCAACACAGGTGAACAATCCTGTGCCTAGCAGGGATTGGCTGGACCGGACTTTGAAACGATGACGAATCGGGACAACCGTAGGACCTTAATCGACGCGAGACGGTCATCAGGACCATCACCGTTGCTAGTCTAACAGCTGGCTCTGTGATAGAGCGATACAATCGTACACCCTAAGAAATCAGATCAGAGATTTTCCCATATATATATACACTACAGCGCCCATGCCATCCTCAAACATTGAAGAATAATGGTCTGTCAAGCCACTGCTGGATGAAGGCCTCCTACACCGTGTCGGTCACGGGGTTTGCTTGACCATACTTCACCACGCTGGTCAGTGCAGGTTTATGAAGGGGGCTCTCGGCTGTTGCCGGGAATATAATTCGGGTTGCCAGGGTTTAAAAGGTCACTAGCTGACCACTGAGGCACCCCCTCCCTCTAGCCGATAACTCTACGGAACATTAATCCACCAAATCAAACACAATAAGGGCAGGGCAACGTGAGCAGAACATTAACATAACATTATATACACACGCGTGAACCAAGTTGAAAATGATCCAGTGTAATGCATTTAATATAGCTGCCCCAAAGTTTTAGAACCATCTAGTTTCGTCTCTTGGCATATCCATTCTGAAATCTGTCCTCATTTAAACTATCAAAACAACTGAAGTTTGTCAATGTAATTTTACAATAATTTCTATTATCACGTGTTCTTTTTACATCTTTAATTGTGGAATTATTTGATGTCTGCCGGCCGAGCCGCCTAAGACAAAGCGGACATCTCCTGGTTCCGATTGTAACGAATACACTTGGCTCTAATGCCCACGCCTTCGCAAATCGCCTGGGCACGTTGTTTCATTGCAGATTGTTTCGGCAGGACCCGATTGCCATGCGCAATGATAGAACGGCAGTTAAAACGGCCGCGGTTGAAGGAGTCGCGTGCACAGCATGGCCGTGTCGCGTGTCGCAGCCACACGCACAGGGTGACCGGGCCTCTTTGTGGCCACTGCGAGGTGGGAGAGGGGGTCGTGACCTGATTGGCCTGGCCTCAAGAAGAATGAATGGTCTGAAATTAATTAGCTCCCAGAAAGTTTAAGCCTGGGCATCAAATTGAGTCTACCAGTGCTTTATTTGCAGCGTGTTCCACGGCCTGAAGGGAATTGCTGAAAGTTATTAATACCATTAGGCCGGGGCCCAGCAGTAGACGAACATAAATTCCCTCAGTACAAACTCAGGAGTGCAGCTGAAACCACTGGATCTGGCGAGACCAGCAGTCACTTGCACAACATGTACACTGCGCGAAGCTGTATGTGAATACACACAAGCAACATTCCAAACAGTCCACGATGGTCGATAGCAATGTAACTCCTCCTCTGACAGGAACGCGACACCACGACCTTCCCCGTACGAGGTCACCTCGTGAACGCTTCCCTCTCTCGTGCCCTCCTCACACAGATGGCGGAACCGCGATTTCATGAACGTCTCTGCCCTTGGTTCAGTTGAGTTGCTGCAGCGAGTTTTGTGTTTGTGGATTTTATCTCTGCAATTGGTATTTATATTAAAATATATTAACCATACTATCAACGTGATAGGAATACGAGTATTGCTTTACATGGTCCTATGAGCGAAAGAAATGTCTATCACATTGTGGGAATTCAACGATGTTTACTACAAAAAAATTACTGCACCCCCCATGGGAATGTGGAATTCCCACCAATAGCTTTAAGTCACTCCCAAGTCACTCTTGGAAAAAGGGACATTCCTGGTCTTCTGAGTTGTCACCTGGTTAACCAAATCATCTTAGGGCCCATAACGGAGCAGTTCTGACAACGCATCTGAGAATGGAGACTTAGCTACTACAGGAAACTACTTTAACATTTCAGTGAAGTGACCTTGTTAATCTTCATGTCCGTTAACTCACGGCGTCACATGTACGTATGTATCACTAAAGTGGCGAGTTGGTTCAGCACACAGCTCCACTCATCCCCCAGCTTCAGCGCTGCGTCTCGACGTCTTCGAGGCCATGCTCAGAGCCTTCTCCATCTCCTCGCACTACTTTGTGTTTTGACTTAACAGCTGACATATCAAATGTCACATGATACCAATCATCATATTTCCATGTTAGCAGTTTGAGGGTGATGGTAGTGCAAACAAATATTACAACAAACCAGTATATCTTTATGATACAATAAATGTATATTGCAATGCAGGTTCACCAATAGATGTCTGTAGCGAGCGATCACAACCGACCAATCAATCCAGAGCTTCACTCGCTCTCCAGGTCAGGTAACATCACCATCAAAACACACATTTGCATTTTGTATTAAGAGGATTTTAGGTGATTTGGTGTAAGGCCCCTTCCTTGTTCTCAAGTTATAAGGGTGATGGATAAATATTGTTCAATAATACATCCAGATTGTGATGCTGCCTTTTAAACGGTTCTATTCAAGCAACCACACATGTATGCATTCTGAAACAAAAACACAGTTGCCAAACACCACTGTATTTAAGACAAGAGTTTTTAAATGTACATTTAACATTCACGTCAAGGCTTGCTTTCCATAAAAGTTAAGATTAATAAATAAAGTCAGGTAAAATTCCAATGAACCACACACATTCTCTATCTCTACCCATTGCTTTTTGTTACATATAACTTTACCTTTTTACAATAAATCCGAAGAGCGATACAAAATACACTCACCATGCATTAATTAGATCACCCCCCCCCCCCCTAACTGTGGTCTGGCAGGTTGCGGACGGCACGGTTTTTGGTGGGGTGACATTTTGGGTTTCCTTTTACATAGGGGGAGCAACACGTTAAGGCTAATGCGGGTACGGCCTGGCTCACATATCGACAGCGCCATTGCCTGAAATGGACACGGGAACTGTAGCTGTATGAAGAGGGGGAACAGCGACTCACGATGCGTGCATTTGTATTTTGACAATGTATCAATATGCACGCTCTTGATTTTTTTTATGAAACATTAAAAACAAAGGCCTGCCAAATGTGATCTCTGGTTCAGTCAGAACGCCAATCCTGACCACCGAATAACCCAAACCTACTCATGTAGATTATTGTATCAGTATGACTCGGCTCGACAACAACAATGCTCTGGTAGCTTGTGGTTTGGGGAAAATGTTTCCTCTTTCAGGTAACGCGCGCACACATACACACAGGTGTTTTTCAATGGAGTAGTGACTTCATCAGACAATTCTTTCCCCGGATGACAGCATTACAATCGCACTTTCCCAGGAGACCTTGTCACATGCCCGAGAAATCTCTCCCTGTATTGGCAGCTCTGAACTAGTGTCAGAAACGCACTACCATGGAATATACCAACATAGTACCTATTGACCTCGAAGATGACGATGGGCTGAGCGGATCCATAACCAGGATTTAAACCTTCAGATTGCAAGGCAAGTGCTCTCATTGCAGTGCCTCACAGCTTGTATTATATGCTGCCTGGTAGTTCAATTATCCAAACCACCTGCACGCATCTGAGTAGGTTGATGGGCACCAGAGCCAGCCAGCTCCTCTCAATTGCTAAATTGACGAATTTGCTTCTTCAGCTTCGCGCACGTTCGAGCGTGGCTATAAGTATAACGCGCAATGCTGATGAGGCTGCAGCCCAATGGTTGCCCGAAGGGTTTGCGAGTTGCCTTGAATTGAAAATTCCTGGATGGAATTTGTCACCACAGCCCAAAACAGGAGGCTCACGCCACTCGCGATGCCCTACGCCGTGGAGGAACACGACGTGCTGGCACTGGCCGGTTAGGAATCCGAGCTCTGCACACCTTGCATCGACAGCGACACTAATTTGCATGACCGGAACATTCCGCTACTCCCATCATTGCGACTCTCCAAGATGTGAAATCTAATTACATATAAATGCACAACACTGAAAGATGCCCTGTGAAAGGCAGAATAATTCCACGTGTTTTAAGGGGTTTTTTGTGCGCTATATCCTACTTTAATTTATACAGCAGTCAATATGGTTTCACTTCAGTCAGTCTTTGCACAACGCTTATAGTGTACCAATAGAACATTTCAATGCTCCATTGTAGACTATGCAGTCTCATGCAGTTTATCAATTCAACATTACAATGTTATAAACAGATTATACAATTTACCAAATGAAAATTATGTAGTTCGGTGAGGCATAAGTTCACGGAGTGGCTTTAAGCCATATAAAATTAAATAAAAGGTTTGTCGAACTTAAAAAGATAATGCAAAATAGACTTGAATCTTCAAAAATATATGCAGTCACCGAGGCTTATTCATTTCATTATCACGATCCTGAATATTTTTTTAAAAAGTGACATCAGTTAAAATGCAATAGGTACAAAGAACATTTCCCAAAAAATCCTGCAATTATGCATTCACAACGACAACAGCTACAAAATCGTAATTTCAAACGTTTGCAACTGCAAAGCTGGCACCGAGAATGAAAACAACACTTATACCGATGCACGTTAACGATTGCGTCACAAAGATGGCTTTCACCCCCCACACCTTGAAACACAAAATAGAGTAAAGAGGCCACCTCCCTCCGGGCGTGTGACAAACAGATTCTGTCCCAATCAAACACCGACATTCTACCAATGTGTGTGTGTGCGGGTGCTTATTACACCTGAGGTGCTGGACAGAAAAGCTTCTATAATACAGGTTTTTTTTTGGGTGAGATCACATAAGTATATAAATGTGTTATGTTAAAACCCACCACCCGACACAGCCAATTAGTACGGTTTGTCACGTAAACAAAACATGCTAATTCGTTACTAGTGCAGCACACCGATGTGTTGGAGAGCAAATCCACAATATTTACAATCCGAGTACTTCGTTTCGCCAGTAATTACAACTAGCTTCATCACGTGACAAACCTTACTAATTGGCTGTGTCGAGTGGTGGCGAGTTTAATGACACGTATATTTATGCAATCTAACCCAAATAAAAACCTGTATTATGGATTATATTGGTCGCGAAAGCCCACGTGTTAGAAGTTCTATTTACAACCGCTTAAAAAAATATTCGATAAAAAAAAGACATCAGGCTTACTAAAAACGTGAGCGTGGACTCAAATAAGGAAATGGCTTGGCAATCCAATGCGTGACCCACAACGCATATTTGTTTAAGCACGTGAGAGGCCACAGAGAGCGTCTCACTTACAAAGGAAATGTGGGAAACTGTTCACCTGCAGGGACAGTTACTATGCTTTTATAATTTCAGTTGCAGCTCAGCGGCGTTTGGAACGGGCATCTGCAGGAGGCCCATACTCCTCTAACAAACGGCAGTGTCCCCTTTGTGTCCCCGCCTGCCCCTTCTTTCAGGGGCAGCTCCCTGGAGTGGCTGGGGAAGATTTTAAAGTGAGAGGTCATGACAGCTGACGTCCCATCCCCCAAATTGCTCCGTCAACATTTGTCCTCCAAAGGCTACTCTTACGTTCCCATCAACACTGGACTGACTTCAGGTATTTCTTTGGCTCTCCGACCTCTGGAGGCCACTCCACTGCCCACTTCGGTGACTTGCCCTCCTCCACCCTGCACACGATGTCCCGCCCATAATAACATTCCCCTTCCTGATTACATCCGCAATACTTTCTTGCCAAGATGCATTTCAGGTTTGGCCACGTAATAGTTTCATGCCAAAGTTCTTGTTATTAACCCTCCACCACCTGACAAGAATTACATTTTTACAAAGTTAGAATTGTTGTGCCAATGTATTGATTAAACTGTGACCAATAAAGTTCCTCCACCAGTGGCTTGAGACTCGTCATGACTGAGATTAACATGAAAGTATAGTTTCAGTGTTGATGTTAATTTCAAACATGAAATCTCAAGCCATCACTGAGGGGATTTATTCATCAGAATTTGATAACATTTTGGCATGTATACATAATACCTTTGTAAACGTGACAATCCTGTTGGGTGGTGGATGGTAAACAACAAGCATTTTGACATAAAACTACCATGTGGCCTAACCGAAAGCAAATATGAATAATTGCATTTTAAGTTAACTTTCTTGCCATGTTGTGCTTTGAACTTTCAAGTTACTTGTCCAATTTCTAGCATTCTTCACACTCATCTGCAATAAGCCAAAACAACGCGCAGAGAACTCGGCCACCCAGTCACCGCCAGTGAGCTGCTGTCGATCTTTGCAATGAAGATTTAAAATGGCCATTCGTGTCTTTGTCCTGTGTCCATCCACGGTGCGTCCCGCTGTTGTGAGATTGTTCCTGGTCTAACCGAGACGGCCAGAACCGCACAAGGTAAACGGCAAGTGTCGGGCCACAAAAATGGCAGTCAAATGAAGACGACGCACCCAGTAGCACAGGGCTCCACCCTGCTGGATTAGCCTGATGGCAATCACAAGAGTCCTCCCACCACAGGTCCCATTAAGCGCTTAAGGAACTTTTTTGCGTGATTTTTTTTTAATTGTCAGAGAACTTGCTTAATCCGCTAGCCTATGAGGCTCTTGCGGTTTCCACGGAAACGTGGCCACGCTGAAAGAAATACAAATAAATATAAAATATAAAACACGTTTTGAAAAAACTATTCATTGCGATCAATTAACACACAGGAATGTTATTGTACATGGGAACATTTACACAAAATCCTGCTCAAATAATGTAAACTTCAACATGAGTAACAGTTATACCACAGTATATATAAAAAAAATAATTTTATAACTACAGTTTAGAGTAAATTGTACATATTTCCCTTTACTTGCATTCAGTATACAGCGTACTGGCACAGTACTAGCTAATTTGTGTTTAAAATAGGAACTTAGTTTAAGGGCCGAGGCAGAAAATATAAAAATCCTACAGTGCATTTTCTGAAGCAAGCTCAAACTCATTTGAAGCCGACTGCAAACTTTTGGATTCAAATCCACAGACTTTAGTGGTTGGACATTCGGGCAATGGTGCTTCACAACCTTCGCCCATCAGATAATTTTGTATCTCATCGTCCACCGGACTGCTAAGTGCATGTAGCGATTCATGTTTGGAGGGGGGTCACAATTTCTATTGGGATTTTTTTTTTGCCGTCTCATTTATACGGCGTTGTTCACTCCCCATTAACCTAAAATGTAACAATATTGTGTTTCATTGGCCTACGTTTGCGTGGATATGAATGTATTTGTATGTACGTCATTCGATAACAATTGATGTAATCTATGCGTTGCTACAAACCTAATGCCCACCATGTCCACGAGCCAAAGGCCTCAAAAACAGGCCACGTGCTCAATCAATGAGTTTACCTGGCCACCACTCAGGCCCGTGCGGCGGGTCTACTTTGGCACAGAATTCCTCAGAGGTTATGAGTTGTTCTGGATTTCACTCATGAGTTCAGGCTATATTTTGAAAATTGGCAGGAAGGCACTCTTTGCGTGAAAAAGGTGGACACAGGCAGTGTGGCAGGCTGAGAGGCTGACAGGCCCGATGGGCGTCACAGAAAACACTCAGCACAACACTGGGGGTACCGTGTTAGAGGCAGCATGCTGCCACTGTAAGAGATTGGTACAGTGAATCCCATACTATTCCTCTGACTTTCATAGGCAATCAGATTTCTGCTACTTAACATGTACCAGTTGATTACTTGGTATGATTTACTTATTTCATTTCAAGTAAAGAAACTCTTATAAAAATAACATGTCATTTGGGAATTTACCAATCCAGTAGCTTGAGTTTATGCGAGGACAGCAGCAGTACCCAATGAATAAAGCAACCAATTAATGTCATCACAGAGCCCATAATATCACAGCAGAGCGCTGTTCATCATGGGCTTAAAATAAACGTGCTAATTTGAACAGGCAATCATAAAAGTAATCAAGCAATCAACTGACATTTCTATCGAGATACCAGATTATGTTTTAAGTTGAAATCTTTTCAAACAGAGTGAGCAGAGACCGTTTCCTTGTGCGAGGTCGCCCTCTCAGCACCACGCACACATGCGGACAAGAGGCGACCATCGCAACCGGGTACACGGTCGGATCGGGCCCCAGTCCAATCTCCCCTCGGCTCTTGGCAGCAGCAGCGGCAGCAGCATGCACAATCGACATTCAGGAGGTGGATTCTTGATTAGAATGGTTGGAGGTTAGGAAGTGGGGTAGGGGTGGAGGCTGGGTTATTAGTCCAGGGCCATGACCGGGATTGCGTGGAAGGCACCGCTCTATGATCGATGACAGGGTTGGTAGGATCCACCAAAGGTTATGGGAAGAGTGGAAAGTTCAGCGTTGCAGTTAAGGCTGGCCGGGCAGACATGAGTGAGCAGGCATGGCCGATTGTCTTTTGCAATCCTCAGTGCTTGCGCTTAAAGTGTGCCTCGGCTGTAGACATGGAAAAGAAGGGAAAACAGAAACAATGGAAACAAAAGAACAGATATGAAATAGGGAACCACCGAGCCCGCATGCAGGTCATGTCACCGCGGCCCCGTCGCCAGGATTTCCCGCACACGTGTTAGTGCCGTGTACCCAGACAATCGGCACCAGACCCCAGCACCGCGGCCCAAGCACCAGGCCCATGAGTTCCATGCAAAGGAAAGAACATGCCAAGCAAGGCCGACGGCATGCTGGTCGTCGTGGGGAATGGGTTCGCGGGATGAGGCGAGGGGTAACGGGGGGCAAAGAGGGGTGCGGGTTGAGAGGGTCATGGGTCTGGGAAGTCGGCCACGAGCCAGGGAGGAGGGTGCAAGAGAGCGCGGGGTCGACTGTTGCCATGAGCAAGGCATCTGTGGTGAAGGCAATTTTGCATGGACACGACTTACCATGAGAGGTGACACCAGGAAGAATTTCACTGCTCCCCTATTCCATTTCAATTCCCTCCTTGGCAATCACCTCACAATATCCATAATACCGAATCCCTAATTATAATACCTTATCCATAATACAAAATTTGGTCCTATTTTTCAAGCATAATTTTCGCTCTAGACTTAGTCTAGTAGTCATTTTAAAACTTTAAAACTAGCTGCGAGCATTCGTCAGAACCCTCATGATGAGAAGTGAGTGATGCGTACTTTACTAGCTCTCAAAACATTTCCTTTTATAGTTTTATTCAATTGCTTTAATATTATAATGTTTATTTTCCACAATTCTTTCCACATATGCTATTGGTACCACATCACCATGGGAAAAGTTATACGTTCCAAAATCTCAACCAGAGAATGGCCGACTTCTGAAAAATCCTTTAAGTGGCTTATTTATCCATTACACAGTAGGGTGGGCACTTTCCAACACTCTGCTATGAGAGTGTCACATGACAAAATGATACATATAATTCTCAGAGCTGGAATTTAGCCAAATTAAGTGCAAAACCAACCCTCAATGTGTTTTTTGTTATTGCAGTCATTGTCGAATGAGCTGAGCTAGCTAACCACCCGCTACACGGGCTGCCTGGATTCATAGCCAGGATCTCAGCATTGCTCGCTCAACGCTTTGACCTCCAAGCTATCCGGATCGTCGGTCGGGTTCATTTAATCCTAGTGCAATTGAACGGGAGCCCCTTTGGTTTATGGCCCTTAAATTAAATTTAATGGCGTTTACTGTCCGGTCTGTGGGTTGTTTGGCTTTATAATTGAGATGTAGTCTCGTGGCTCAGACGGCTCAAGTACGGCTGTGTCAGAGCTTTATTGAGAGCGAATAAGGGTTGCTTTAATTTTCGGATCCCAATGAAAGGTAATGGAACTACATTAATTGTTTTTTTATTACCCATATAATGGGAGTGAACTTTGGATTTAAACATGTCGAATTTTATACTCTTTGGCTCTTTCGGTAAAGTCACGTAAGTCACCGAAAGAACCAAAGAGTATGGATCCTTGCAGTCACGAAAACTTAAAATCTAGAAATGTCGAATTTTTTGGGAGAATTTCAGAACTATTTAATATTTTCAGATCCTTTCCACTATATTCTGCAATTCATTTAAAGGTCTTTGTCCAAACTTAGTGAGGTCACCTGATACCGCGTGACGTCACTTTTGGCAGAAAAAGCGTGAGAGGGTCACTCTTCACATGTCACGGTTTTCCTATCAGTCCAAAAACAAATCTCGAATCGTCCCAAATTTCGCATTTAGGCGTGATTTCATGGATTTCACGGATTAATATGAAAATTGGGAACAATTATTTACAGACAGTAGGCCATTGCACCACATAACATGCAGCAATGGGATGTACGACAAAGGCTGAATGACCGACCGACTTGCCACGACGACACCACTCACCCGAGTACTCCTGTGGCGACATGGGGCGCATGATGACGCGGTGGAAGTGCGTGATCCACTGTGCCTGCTCATCCTCGGTGCGGCAGCCCAGCACGTACTTGCGCTCGGGCGTGACGATGGTGATGCCGTACGCCCAGTGATGGCCCTGGAGGCCCGGCGGGAAGCCCTCCAGCACCGCATAGCCGTGGTCGCCATTGCCCAGGAACACCTCGCCCTTGGCAAACGCGTCCTTAGCCCGGCCACAACCGCATGCGCCACCGCAACCGCCGTCCGGCATGGGTGGGGAGGAAAAGCGTCTCCGTTAGTTATTGTATAAACTAGAGGCACTCTGGTGGCTTAAATCATTCATATCGACCTTGCCAGTGCCCTGACACAAGACAAGCGGTTCTACCCCCGTTTGGGAGCTGACAATGGCCATTTCAGAGCAATTGCCAAAATCCTGGGTTAAAACGACGAAACTCTCCAACACTAAAAAAAAAAGTTCCGCCACTTTCACGAGCATTGGGCGGTGTTCATTGCCGTTTGTGGCCCTGAGGCAATGGTGGAAATTCCACGTTGCTTTAGTGGCAGTCAGGCATTGTTGACTTCCCACAGAGGGGTACTTATTTTTAAAGAGATTGGGAACGTCAAGGGGCTGAATTGGTTGAATTGACTCCCAACCAGGATTTTAACGCGTGCAACTTTCCCACTGCGTGTTGAGCAGCCTATGGATGTACGTTGAACTTATTTTGCACCGTACGTAGCCAACCGTGATAATCGGAGGTGCGGGGGAAGGACAAACTATATAATTTTCTAATTAGATTTAAGTGTGCATAACTTCAGTGGCTTTCTAATATTGGAAGGAAGAGCCTTCCAGACGGCCGCAGAAGCGCATCTGAAAGCACGCGATACAGTGACCGTCTTTATTGGATGGTCAGCCCAACAAGTGGTAAAGGACCAATGGGAGTCAGTGAAATGCAGTGGATGTGGTCCAGGCAGTCCTATGGGTTTGGGGGGTTGGAGTGGCCCCATTTTGCAGATTGAGGTGGGGGGGGCAAACAAGAGACTTGAATCCCCACTAAAATCTCTGAATGGAGGTAGAAGCGAATGGACTTGTGCGAGTACAATCTATGTATACATGGACTGTACAATAAAATAATAAACAAATATAATGTACCGTACTGCAAATTACTACTGTAAAGGCACGGTAACTAAGTTGGATGTTAATTTTTTTTATAATTGTAATCTGAGGCATGGATCCAAACCCACGAAACTTGCTTCATTAAACCAAGCTGCCTTGTGTGTCGCATTCCCTCGGCTACAGCTCCTCTCTAGCAGCCCGTGCTGATTTTTCCTTGACGTAGCCTGCATCAGCACCCGCCCCCCTCCCACAGTCGCCCCCCATCTCGAGTCGGTGAGTCCCCCCCCCTATGTGCAGCATCGTGGTGGTGTGCATGGGGCGGTGCTGGCGCCCACCAGGGGATCCTTGAAATACATGAGGCGCCGGTCGGCGGCATCCAGCGTAAACCAGCGTCGCCGGAAACTCTCCTTTTGCTGCCCACGCGGAAGGAGCACACGCAGCCCAGCGAACCAGCCGGTGCATGTACGGCACACACACAACGACAAAGATCCCCCGGCCGTTTAGCCTATGCAAGTTGTCAGGGCCCACGCAAGTGCTGTCAGCCAGCGCCTATTACGGCCGGCATGGCACACAAGGCGGTGGTTGTGACAAGCACCACACCCGGCCACCTTTGTGTCTCTCCCCAGTGGTTATGTTATAACACATTGCACCAGTTACTCATTTAAGGCCGAGGCGACCTAGCGGAGGCCCAGTACTGATTCAAATAGGTGCCACGGATATTAGCGAAGGTTGGAAATTGAACTCCGGTCGCTGTGTTATTAGCGCAGTGTGCTAACCACGACGCCAATGCTCCCTACTGTATACACAACTTTCATTTTGAAACTGTCAAGTCAGGAAATTAAACATCTCCAAGAGGCACACAATTACACACACACTGAGACAAGTACGGACACGGTCACGACTCGTGTTTGCACAGGGAACTACTGCGAGCCACATCTCTCTCTGCACTAAATACATTTCAATCTGTAGACCGCCGTGCAGAATGCAGTGCATGGGATTGTGCATTGAACTGCACACGACTGAGGAGTTTAGCGTAATGCTAATCCCCACAGTAATCTGTAGACAGGCGTGGAGATTGGTTCAACACAAAGGCTTGTGGAGATGTGTCGATTGTGTTTGACAGGTGTGCAGTCTTCCTTTGAGTGTCAACTGTAACAAGTACCAGAAGCCTGTGCGCCACGCTCTGTTGTTGGAATAGCACTACGTCACCATGTGCGCGCTGTGCTTTAGTTTCCCATGTGAAGCCGCAGGCTGGAAGGGTGTGTGTCATGGCATGCGTACCTTGGGCCCCGTCTTCTCCATGTATCCCTCCTTCACGTAGTTCCTGGTGAGCCGTGGCGTTATCTGGCAGATGCGACGGCAACATCCTCAGCAGTTAAACACAAAGCCTCAGCGAGGCGACCTCTCCGGTCAAGCGTTCGTCACGCGCTACTCTGGATGTCTTCAGCAGTGGATTCAATGCGCAGCCCAACCGAGAAAAAACACTTGGATTACAAGCCGCTGAGAAAATGTACGCGTTAAACCACCCGCCCTCCACAGAGGAAAGTTACGTCAGCTATTAGCAGGAATATCAGGCCATTTTTTCTTATTATTGTTAAGCTTGTTTACCCAGGAATACCTCAGCAAGACTCCAGACTAATTTTCAGGAGAGTCCTACCAAGTTGCCTCATTTTGGTTTGTCAAGTCTTAGAAGCTCTAGTATGCAATGTGTGGCAACGTCATGAATACTAATCAAGTGCACCATGCCATGCATATTGATGAGCAAGTGGGTGGCGGCGTCTCGCAGATGAAACGGGAGCGGGCGAGCGCTCGTCAAACCGTCGACGAAGCCAGACCCCTGCCCAACCGCCACCCGGCTTCTCACTTGCACGAGAGAACGGCAGTGGCGGTCAGAGCCAAAGAGCTCTTTAGTTGACACTTTAAGCACCACAGGCTATGAAACAAATGACAAAAGATATACGTTTGTGACTGTCGCCGTTACAAGCAGTGTTTATGTGAAACCAAGATGGCCACTGTAGCCTTTCTGTATGTGGAGCTCGTCAAGGTGCAGAGAAAGTACACTGTATATAAACGTGAGCCCGAATACAGCGGCGAGCGGTAATGTTCCTCTGCCCCAAATTGGCACCAACAGTTGACTGCTCACAAAAATCCCACGGACTCATGGAAGGATCCATTTCCTCCATTTAAACTGGTAACAACCAGTAGAGATTTTTCCATGGGAGGTAAACAATCACTACAACAAACAGCAACACAAGTTCCTGAGGCCAAAATAACTCATATTGCAGAAATCTAAATGCAGGTCTGGGCTATGTAACTATAACTGATAAAAGGATGTGTAAATCGTAGACTAGTGTTTCCTTGCCGAGTATTGGGTCTAAACAGCACATTCCACATCGACTGTGAAAGTGCGATGATTCAATGTAAACAGATGCAACAATGTAAACAGATGCAACATTCATTAAAAATGAATGTGGAACATCCATATTTAGCGTTGACCTTCAGGACTCGGCTTATGAAGTTACATCTTAAGTCATATGGGTTTGCTTTTTGAGTTTTTGGCCTGGCAGCCGAATGATAATAATGAATAATATTTTGACGTGTAACGTGCAGCACAGTATTCACTACTCACTCTCGGAGAAAGAGTACGATTCAGAGGCACGTGAAGGAACCATAGACAGCAAGCAGGAAGGCAGCAGCCACACGGTGACCTGGCACTACCAACAATTTCCCCCTAATATCTGAACCCTCTTTCGTTCTCAGACATCTGCAAGTTGCAGGGTGGGTGTCCCGTTCACCACTTAATCTCTGAGAGCGCAAGCGGCTCAGCGTTAATTTTATGAAGAGAGGCGTCGTAGCGCCGTTGTTCATGAATACATTGTACTCACCGGAGAGAACCGGAGCGACACGACTGCACTCTATGATAGCTGACGCCAAACTTGTCACACTCCCTCCCCCGCATGGCCTTGTGGGAGCCTCGGTACCGATAAAGTTAGTTTATTTTCGTTTTTCTTCTGGTTCCATTCCGATGACGTACACGGGAAAACTTTAAGATGTTTTCAGCCAATTAATGTGTGTGCATGCAAGAGGAAACCGGAGCACCCGGAGAAAACCCAGGCATGTGAGCACGCAACACCTCTATCCCATACAGATGAAACACACGGATATTAGTTTACACTTATACTACCTCCTCCTGGCGAGCCAGGGTCTGTCCACCTCGACAGCTCATGGGAAGGGAGTTTCACAACGTTTGTGTGACCCCTCCAACCCTCGCTGCTGCTTCCAGTGCTGGATTACAGGTCACGTGCATGGCGGCCACCACCACCTGCCTGTAATCTCCAACATGGTGGCTCTGTGAATAGGGCTCTTGCCACACAACTGGAATTCCACGAGATAAAATCCTGGTCGGGAATTCATTCAAGCCATCACCTCCGCTTAGGAGTCTTATAAGATATATAAAACTGCACCAGAAGTCACCAGCGGGAATCTTGTGGTGTGAGCGAGGCCAATCACACGACTGTAGGTTCCACCACAGGCTCAGACGCCACCGATAAAGACGCGCGCCGCCTCGCTGCTCGTCTGAGCAAAGATTCTCGAATTCTTCCAAGAGACACTTGACCTCTCACCTCCTTGTCGACCGTGCCTGGGTAGGCCACCTTCAGGTAGTGGTACCGTACGGCGCGGATCGCATTGAACCAGTCCACGATCACCTGTGCACACACAACGTGCCGCACACCACGATTCTCCATTGAGTTTGGATTTGGCCGTGTAATGATTTTGCCAAATTTGTGTCGCTTAGACCCTCCATCGCCCAACACAGTCAAACATTAAAAATGTCTTAACGACGCCACTTTGGCGAGATCGTTACGCGAGATCAACCCAAAAAACAATTACAAATCATATTGGCTGAGAAAATCCAGGTGTGAAGTTAATAATACACCATTTCACACACCAACAAACAACTATATCACATATACCACACCAAAAACCACATCCAACAACCACATCACATACCAACTGACACACATCACACAAATAACCATATGTCACACACACCACAAAACCACACCAAAACAACAGACGCCATTAGCCACAAAGTGGCAGTGACGTCACCACGGTGCCAGTGTCAGGCCAGGTGCACTTTGAGGCCACGTGAAGTGTCGAAGGCTCACTGACTGGAGTTCATGGGACAGACCCATGTGCCATTGGTTGGCTGACTGAGATGACTGGCAGATGCACTAGATGTGCCCCCTACTGTGCTAACTTACTGCATTTTAGCTGCTCGGTGATCCCCTCATTGTTTTGAGCATCGCTTCTCCACCCTCTGCATTTGCTGGAGGGCATCTGTCTCAAACTGTCCAGTGGTATCATTCATGAGCCTCTTCCACAAAAGCGGATGTTGAGACCTCTGGCACCAGTCATCAGCAAGTGCACTCAAGCTCCACATCCTCCTGTACCACATCAGCCCATCTCATTTCTAGTCCGTACAGTACCCATTTAGCTCCCTCGATCCAGCCAAACAAGCTGCTTGGGCATGCGTTGGCTGGGCATGCGTTGGCTGGGCATGCAGGCGACATGACCCAGTCAACACAGCCTTGGCTACCGGAGGAGCTGACTGATGGATATGTGACTAGCTATTTCAAGAAACTGTGAGCTGCTCACACAATCCAGTCTGGTTAAACCCAGGAAAGATCGTAGGCAGGCCAACTGGTGCAGACATTCCATTAGAGGGGTCCACGTTTTGCAAGCATAGGCAAGGGAGGGCATAACTGTGGGAGAAGAACCGGAGTTTCATGTGGAGAAACAGGTCGCGTAGCTTCCACACAGTGTTACACAGCTGAAGATAAAATGCCCCTCTGCTGATTCAGAGTGATACCTCTGCTGCTAAACCGGAGCTAGTCACAAGCACACTGCCCAGTTACGGAAACTTCTCCACCCTCTCCATAACTGTCCCATCACGAATGAGAAGTTGAGAAGGTGCAGTATTTGACGACATAAAAATATCCAGACAGGTGCTTGTTTTTTGTGGAGCTGATGGTAGGGCCCTATCTCTGAGTGGCATGTTCCAAGTTCAGCAGCAGCAATAATTACCAGACCAGCAGCATGCATAACATAGTTCCCCAAAAGGCAGCCATTCCTTGAGCGCACCCGGGCATCGATCAGCCTCCCATTGTATCTGTACCAGACGGAAATTCCTCTGGTACAGCCATGGAAAGCTCTAGAGCTATGTGGTCAATAAAATGTGTTAAGTAATGTAGGAGCCAGAAGACATCCCTGTCGCACCTCAAGATGAAAATGGAATGTCTCGGACTCCCAGCCACGCAGCTTTACCAGGACCTGCCCACCATCATGAAGGCCCTTAATGATTGTGACCAGAGGGTGAGGGACCCAAACTATGTAGAATAACCCAGAGCCCTGGCCTAATGATGGTATCATAGGCCTTGACCAGGTGAATAAAGCAAATATGTAGGTGCCGTTGAAATTCCCTACAACTTCTGCTGTAGCAGATGGACAGAGAATATGGTGTCGGCTCAGGACCACCCCGGTCTGAAATCACATTGGGGCTCTGCAGATCTTTCCTCCACGTGCTTTGCAAGGCAATGTTGAACAATCCTTGCCAGGACCTTTCCCGGCACACGGAGGACAGATATGTCCCAGTAGTTGTTATAATAAGTACGGTTCCCCTTCTTAAAAAGGAGACCACCAGGGCATTCTTTAAATCCTGTAGTCCAGGCAGTTGTTATTATGCCATATGAATAAGTCTGTACACAAATGTCACCCTCCATCAACTATTCGCTTAGGAGATTATTTCTGCTCGGCACTTTTTCTGGTATCAGACTTCCTGATATCTCTAGAACAAGAATTGGAATAGATGACAAAGCCTTTGCCGTTGCAGCACCAACGTTTTAAAACAACCTTGTTTCCTCCCATAAGATTGTAAAACTTCCTTTAAAAATATCCTGAAGCAGAATGTTAGTGCCAGATGCAGCGACATTTGCAAATTTGATTTGTAACTTTGAACCTTACCCATATATTGAAAGTTACATTTTAATGTGCTATGTGATTGAGGGATTGTGTGTTGTCTTGGTGTGGTCTGGGACTATTGTTGTTTTGCTGCGTTGTGTAAGCTTGCATTTGGTGTTGACAAATCGGCAGGAATTTTAGGTACTTGTGCAATTTGTACTTATTGATAGTTATTTATTTTTACCGACTTGCTTACCTTTTCTCTATCTTACACTCATATCGTCTTTTGTATTTGTTGTTGATGTAACTTGCTGACCCACCCTACTGGATATCTGTAAAAAAGAGCTTCATAACTCATGGGATTCCTCCAAGATAAATAAAGATTCTGATTCTGGATTTCTCTTCATACTTTCTCAACAGATTGCAGATCAGCTGGCCACTCACATGTGGTGGCTATTTCCTCCAATATTTGAGGCACATCAGCCCTAGTAAGTTCATTTCCCACCTTGCCCCATAATATTAACTGGGCTGAGGGATTTTCCCTCCCACAAGACGTAATAGAAATGCTCAGCAAACCTGCAGACCTGTTCCTGGGGGTCAGAGATCCCCATTCTTTCCCTTACGAATGGTAATAAGTGTGGCACTGCAAGTTACGTTTTTTATAAAATTAAAGAGTTATTTGTGATCGCGAGCTACTGAGGAATTTTCCATTTCCTCAACAACCTGCAACCTTCACTCTTCTTGCAGCGCTGCACAGCTCTCTGAACCTCCGAGTAAAAGCTTTTTTGAGCCTCCTCATTCTCCAACGTGGGATGTTGTAGACCGTGGGAGGCAGCCTGTCGCTTTCTTTCAGCTAACCGGAACACCACATCTGTCCACCATGGTCTCAGATAATCATCACTGGTGTTGGTCGTGACCGAGAATCGAACTTGGGTCACCGAGTTTGTAGCACAACGCACTAACCATTGCACCACTGCTCCACAGGCACCTCACACCATATCACACACCCCAATATCAAACAACATCATACAACCACATCACACATCATACCACATGTCACAAATCAACATCCCACGCACCGCACAACGCACAGGTCAGAAAATCCCCAGCGTGACCGCCAGCAACATGAAGAGGCAGCAGAGCGAGCAGCAGCCATTGGGTACAGGGAAGTGGGCATTGAGTAGTGAGCGTTGTGCATTTAGCATTGAGCAGTGGGCAGGGGTCAACTGGGCAATGGTTTGTGAGCAATGAGCGTGGGGCAGCAAGGCCCACCTTGCCCTCCTCGTGGTAGACGAAGAGGCTGCGGGTGCTGCCATCCTTCAGGTAGGTGACCTGCAGGCCGTTGGGGTTGCCGATCTTGTCCGGCTGGAACGTTGCATTGATCTCGGCGATTTTCAACTCGCCCTTGGGCTCCTTCGCCTGCCGCGGGCATGGGGCAACGCATCGACACTTGGTCACCAAACCTACTTTGCTGCACTGCCTCTTGCAGGTAGTACAATAATAATAACTTTCAACGCGCACAATTTTGCTAATGGACGAAAAAGTGGAAGAGCAAATCACAGGTGCGGAGCCTAGCTCAGAGTTGAAAGCTTGCTGGAACGAGTACGTTCCGGTGACGTATGTGTACATAATTATAACGGATAACTTTATCGGTATCAAGGCTCCCACAAGGCCATGCGGGAGGGAGTGTGGAAGAGTTTGGTGCCAGCTATCATAGAGTGCGATCATGTTGCTACAGTTCTCTGCAGCGAGTACAGTCCAATGTCTTTAAAAACAATGGTGCTGCTACGCTTCTAAATAATATTAACGCGAACCACTTGCACATTCTGAGATTCAGCGGTGAACGGGACCCACCCTGCAACTTTCAGACGTCTTGGAACGGCAAAGCATTAAGTGCGTTTTTAAATAAGTTGGTGATTGTACATTATGTATATGGGGATGGAGTTCCACATGGTGGGAGCAATTACGGAGAAGTGACGGTCGGCAGTCACAGTCCATAAATTTGGGGATGAGCAGATTGAGAGATATGCCGTGAGGTACATTGTGATGTTTTCCGAGGGAAAATACGGTAATGACGCCAAGTCCCTTGGAAGACCACGGACAGCATCCCGCCAGGTGTTCTGTGGTTCTGTAGTTTGAGTGCTCAACTGAAAATCGGAAGCTTTTGAGTTCAAATACAGCGGACCACTCCGAGACACGTCGCCAGTGGCCGCCCTGTACAGACTGCAGGAATGTCCACAGAAGACACTCATGTAGCACTCGGCTATTAAAACCTATGCCATGTCAGATGCATGGGTGAACAAGGGAATGGCAGTGGAGGAGCTCCTAACAACAACAACAGGACCCCGTTACTTGTGAGGCTGGGAATGAGACCACCGGGCGCGCTTGGGAGTTGAGTATCAACGCACGGGTGCGGACGCCGCATCACGCAGCCCGATTCGATGAATGATCTGCATCGGCCAATATTTGCCAAAAAACGTGCCGACGAGTTCCCGCCGATCCCCGAAGATGCGGACGTGACCCCAAAGCACTCACGTCGCTCTTGGTGAAGTACTTGAGCACCCCCTCGCGCTCCGACAGGATGAACTTGCGACGCAGGAACTGGCTGCTGTCCCGTCCGCGCTTCCACAGGTACCCCTCCCGGTAACCTGTGTGCAGGGTTGATGAGTCGAGGGGGCACAGGGGTCACAAGGTGATCACACACGGGGCGATAAAAACATCGCGAGGAAAATAACTAAACGAATACCCCGACACAGTCTATCACGCCCCCATGGTGGATAGGTCATTACTTTGTGGTGTTATTTCTTGTTTTTATAACAATCGTTTACCCAGGAAAGCCGCACTGAGTGACAGCACTCTTGTAATGGGCTTACCATGTTGCAGCACTACAGAAGTTGTCTTGATTGTTATTAAGACCTTTTTCAGGAGGGTCCTGCCAAGTTATTGCAGTAGGGGGCGCTGTTGCCGTGTGTAATTCCAACTGAGTTAACAGTGGTTGTCCTCTTAGACACCAGTCACCGCCATACGTATGTGACATCTCCACACAACAGAGATGAGAACGGGACCCAGCGTTCCGCTCCGAGTTTGTGATTTATCCGAGACAGCGTTAAGAAGGTCCCTTGCGCGAGCGGCAATCGCCACCACCTGTGGAGTAGGGCTCCTGCTTCTCGACGTCGATGAATTCGCGGCGCTCATATCTGGCACGGATCCACTGCTCCTTGAGGACCCTGCGGTGAGGACAAGGCATGCGAGCGTGAGGAGACTCAAGCCAAACCCCAGCGGAGCGCACACAGGTTCAAGAGAGCAAACGGATGATCAAGAATTCTAAGTGGGCTTGGCAAGATAAGCCTCAGAGAGATGATGGCTGGCGGTTGAGACTAACTACGGAGTTACAGCCAAAGGAGGTAACACATCCAAGATGACGTCCACTGAGGAAATGAGGCGATGAGCAGGTGCTAGGTAGACTGCTGCATCGCAAGACCATGGAGATGACGGTTGGGGGAAGCCTTCATCTAGTAGTGGATAGATCATGGCTGATAACTGTGATAACAGTTAACCAACTACTTTCAGCCAAAACCACCGTAAAACTGTGAATACAATGCCCACAATAACAAATATCTGCAATGGCAAAGCCACGTTTTTCTATAACTTCAGTTTTGGCCCGAGCTTGACGCTATAAAACTTACGTGAAATAATAATGTATTTCTGAATCATATGGAGTGCACGATTGCATCATCAAAATCCTCAATTGAGGATTGTGGCCTTGAATCAGGACCCTTTATTGAAGCAGGGAGGAGGGGTGGAGCCCACTGTGAGATGGATTTAACAACAGAACTAAAAAACGTGGCCATCCCAACTTTGAGTTGTTGGTCAAATCAAGAACATGGCCACACATTCAGTACATGAGCTGGAGGTCTGGACAAGGCTGATGGAAGTTGAGTACTGCTGTTTGTGAGCACACGTTGGCGTGTTGATGAATCTGTTGCTTTCCAGCATGCACTCATTCTCCTGTTGCTTTGGGTTCTCAACATTTACAGCCAGCATTACAATAAAAACATTTGTTTTGGATCATTCAGAATTCTCTACATTCTCACTTCCTGAATTTCATCCTGATCTGACGTAGTTTCAATTCAGCGTCGTATAACTAGTCGCTAAATTGGGTTGTGAGAATTGTTTCTCAACTCAATGGCGAGAGAGCTGAAACAATAATAATTGTAAATACGCTTGTACACGACGTGCCAATTGTATTTATTTGGCTCTGTCTGGTGGTGCAGAATGTTAACGACACAAATTAGGACAAATCATTGTGGCTTAACCTAAAAATCAATTACTAGTTAAGGCCCACTGAGATATATAGCTCTTTTTCAGAGGCGACCTGGCCACAAATGATAGCTAAACGAAGTGGCTTATCACGTGCAAAAAATATAGCAGCAAAATACTCTAAATGCATGTTTCTAAATGTGGAGGGAAAAAAAACAGAGGATCAGGATAAAAATCCGCATGACCACGAGGAAAAATGCAAACTCCAATTATATGGCCATTAGGATTGGGCTCGTACCCATGACCTCCTGAAGACCAGGTGAGGCAGTTAACACATCTCGCCACCGCGGTGCCCGCCGATGACTCATTCACAGGAAGTGTTGTATTTGAGCCTGTGCGGGGTATGGAGTGGCACTACTCACTGGCAGTCGTCGGCTGTGGGGCGGTAGTAAAAGGGAGGGATCCGCTGCTCGTACAACTCCTTTGCCGCGACATTCCCCTTGTTTGCCATGAACTGCAAAGCAGAAATGAATAGAAATGGAGAGGGTCATCGCCGTCGCTCCCACGCCTGGATCCCCACTCCTCTCCACCACTGCGGAGCTCCCTCCGGCACTCGCACCTCTGCGGCGCGACGCACTGGCGCACGCCTCTAGCCCGGCGCTCTGGAGGCGGAGTGGTTGGTTCACACAGATCTCATCATGAGCAGCAGGAGGCTCCCACCTGTAGGGCGAATTAGCTTACCAGTCGACAATAGTGCAGCAAGTAGGACGCCGAGCAATCTGTACACATTATTTATTATTATCGGTGCGTTTTTCAGGTGTTCTGAATTCCTCAAACATACCAAAAAATACTCGTGAAAGAATCGGCTAAACGCATCAATGCAGGACCCTCTTGTAAGTCTTGAGACTGAAGAGGCTTTCTATGCTAAAGTATTACAATTGTAGTGAGTCCAACCGAGTGCCAGACGTTGTTCTTTAGAGGCAATACATTTATTGTAGCATCAACACGTAACACAAAGGGGTAACTACTGCCCCTTCACCAGATACTGCCTAGGGTGGTGACCACCCAGCTAACTACCCTATACGGCTACGAAGGGTCTGGCCCTCACTCGGGTCCCGACCACGTGTTGATGCCTGTAGAGCTTCTAGCTTGTTGGACGTAGAGCTTCAGCTTTTAGAATCCAGCGACCCCGGTCCCACTCAGGCACCCGCCTTATATCCCTCCACGAGTCGGGCCGCTCTGCCTTCGGCCCCACCCGCCTTCTGGAGCCTTCTAGCTCCCTCTCGATCCCTCTCGAGAGCTCTCCCTGGACACGTGATCACCCCCTAGTCCCCCCACCTGGGGGCCTCTATATGGATACTCCAGATCACGTGTCTGCAGGGTCAACCAGAGTGCCATGGCCCGGGGCAACCCGGACCCTGGGCTGACACTCTCCTACTCCCCCCTGTGGGAGCCCGCACTACACGCTATGTGTGGTGCCCGCGCTATCCCAGCGCACGCTAAGCCCCGCTAGGGCTGGTACTACACCCGCCTACGGGGTGTACGCGATGACAGTGCATCGCGTGCCGTGGCCCTCTTAGGCCGGTACCATACAGTGACATCCCCAATGTCACTACACAATTATTGTTAGATCGAATTCACAAAGTCTGGGTACACAGTTTAATTTGGATCCCGATGGTAGAAATGCAAATCTTGGCATGGCTCCAGACAAGTCGAAATCCAGATTTATTTTCATTCAGAGTGCAGGTGAGGCTTCAGGCTTTAATCCATAGCAGTAATTTAATCTGTGAAGATGGATCAGCACATATCTGTACGTTAATCAAATAAAGATTTAGATTCAGATTCCAAAATGAATAAAAATCCAGATCATAAATACTAAACTGGTGTTTAGTTCACATTGAGACCACAATTAAGATAGAGTTTTGTTTAGTCCTTTCAATCGCTGCCAATCATCAACGTTTCTAGGGATACATTGGCTGCTAGTTGACAATTCTGAGACATGATCACGTGACGAGGTTTGGTGACTGGCTCGTTCTCAAGTCCACCATCTTGCCACACCCACCAAGGACAACCGCTCTGCCCATCACCACCCCCACGAGTGTGGGAGGGTAGTGAACCGAAAGTAATCAGTCTCCGATTACAAATTACTACGCCACTGCATACAGCCACAGAAAACCTCTCACACGCACGTGGGCAGCCAGGAACTTAAAACAATTATCAATCTATCCTCCGTGCAGGGCAACATGAGCAAGCATCACTGTGATGATGATCCAGGATTACAAGTAATATCTTACCAAGCAACAAGAAAATATCCACCTGGCTCTTACGGACAGTGGCCAGCCCTCCCATACACCCATAATCTGCCAAGGAGGCTTCTGGCTCAACATGGGCCTCTGGTCACAGTTTGGTGTGAAATTCCTCCAATAGTGAGAAAGTGTTTATTTAGTTCTACGAGCCAGTGTCAGCACAAACATTGACGTGCGAAACTCATACAAGCATGTGCCCATGTGCAGTATGCACAGACAGATGGGTGAATGCCATGGCAGAGGACTCAACTCGCAGTTTTAAGATTGCAAGTTCACATCGTCATCTGGGATTGACTCAGTCCATCATCCCTCTAGCGTTGATAAAACGAGTACCTCTGCGTAGAAAACCAAGAGTACTTGTCCTATGTAACCTGTGCAATTTTCATCACTGGCTACAAGCCACCACTAACTTGAAAAACACTAACATGTCGTCATCATTCATCATCATACCTCTCGGGCAGATACAATGAGCAGCTCCGAGTGAGGCTGCATTAATTGGTACAGGAAAGCTAACATTGGTTATTTAACCGACTATTTTAGGAACAAGGAATAGTGTGGCAGATAATCTTACTGGTGACGACTGGCAGCAACCACTGCCTTAAAATAATCCGAATGCATCATGTCCCCAAGTCGGTAATGGACAGTCAACCCTTGTGGACTCTCCACAAACGTTTATCTAATGATGTAACATCACTTCCATGTTTTGCCCGATTCAATCGCCCATATTTGGTGGTTGATTCTGGAGATGCTGACATCAGCGGCACTTGATTTAATTTGCTGACGTTCACCCACGAAACTACGCGCATTTTCCCCTTGGGCCATCAAATGTTTGATGACTTGGAAGACTACCAAGTGAACTACTGAGGCAGCAGCAGCACTGAGGCGTCATGGTGGCGCCTCTATATATAAGGCAGCAATGACGCAGGGTTTGATTCCTGGTCATGCACAACATCAGGAGCACGTTTTATATAAACCTGTCCATGGCCTCCTCAATGTTGACTCGGCCTTAAATGTGTACTTTGGAGTGTAAATATCAGCACTCGAGGATAAGGGAGGATTGGGGCTGGCCACATCACCCCCTCATGGACCATAATAGGTGCTCGCTAACAGCACTCGACTACAGTCTACAAATACCAACATTGATATGTTTGCATATATATTACCTGGAGAAAAGGATGCCCATTTGAGTGTGCGTGTGTTAACCCAAAACAATGAAGTGTGTTTTTTGACCAGCCAACAACCAGACTGTCACTTGATGCACAATAAAAGTGAACCTAGCCTAGCGTGCCATCATTGCCACTGATCAGCAAATGGCAGCCAATGTTGCTGTTGCACGGTTTGTGTGCATGTGTAAGCACACTTCTTATTTGTGGCCGTTCGCAGGCGTGCTTGTATAAGAGGTGAAGTTCCGTGTAGGCGTATGGTTAGTGTTAAAGTGCAAGACCGTGAAGATGTTGACAACCTTCCACCTTCACTTCAAACTGGAACCAGTAAATCCAGCTTTTCTACTCTGACTGCCCACACGACGATGACTGTGGGTGCCAGCGATTGCGATTCACCCAACAGCCAGGCTTGTCATCGCTATGCTGATGATACCAGCCACCTCCACCCGGGCTGTCTCATGCGGAAACACCAATCGATCGAACGCACCACGATTCAGAGCGATGCACGAGACAAGCACACAGGAGCGCATGCCCGCAAGTGTGTGTATATGTCCGTAGCAGCGGCTACCTGGCCCCTCACCCATACCTGCCATTGAGATTACATCACCTAATGCTCTGTGTGTATGTTGAACATCTTTCGCAACATATGTAGCCAACCATGTTAATCGGAGGCGTGAGGAAGGACACTGGCTCCAAAATCTATTTCGGATCAATTTCACCATCTCCAAGATCCTCCATGGACTTTGTCCCTTCCTTCCTCTCCCCTCTCATCTCACTACTCCAATCACATTATCTTGGCTTTATTCACATCTCGCACCCCCAGTCTGGACCTCCCTCCCCCAGCCATCCCTGCTGTCGACTCCCTGCAACTTGTTCAAGTTCAGGCTCAAAACCTTCCTCTTCTCCTTCTCCGCCTTCGACTGACAGCCTCTTTCTCTCCATGAAATGAACACGCCCACTGTTTCTGTACAGCATCTTGAGTTCCGGTACCACGGAGATGCTACATAAACCCAGTGTACTGTGACAGTTGTGAAGGCGAGTGGGATCGGTGTTAGAGGTACAACATCATGACCAAGGTTTCAAGGTCACATGGTGTGGTCACCTGACCTCCACTTGCTCATCCTCCCAGAAGTCGAGGCGGAGGGACTTGACGCGGCTGACCTCCGTCATGTTGCGGTGAATCCCGGAGCAGTGCAGGCAGATGAACACCCCGAGTGTGTATGACGCCCAATCAGGATCTGCAATGCACATTCACGCGCACAGTACAACCTTGACAAGACTGTTCGGGCAAGTGCTGTTATTGAAGGCAGACACGACATACGAGGGGGTGGGTGGCCATCACCACACCCTGGCTGCCTTTGTCTCCCCAGTGCTGATAAATACACCACACCAGGAATTAATTTAAGGCTGAGTCGACTTTGGGGAGGACCACGACTGCTTGAGATATTCATTACCTTTTTTGGATGTGAGTGGGAATGCAACTCTGGTCAGAGTCCGTGAAGCAGTGTGCTAACCAATGCACTACTGCTCCATAACATAAAAGTAGACAAGACATACAAAGGCATGCACTGTTAAACAGACAGTCACACACAAACACTCCCACACACACACACAAACCCATACACAGAAAAAGAGACGCACAAAGATCCACTGTTTAAGCCAAAAAGAGCGGGTGGGGTGAGCTATGTAGTAAACGCCATCAATGCCCGAACGAAGCATTTTGTTTTGCAGCAGAGTTTGTATAAGCGGGTAAACTCAGAACCGGTTTCAATTTTCAGGGTCTCATCGGCAGACTCAGACCAGTTAAATAAGTGGTGCGAGATAGTCAGATTTTATAGTAAAGAGCTCTGTATAATGTGGGGCCAATTTGAAGATGGAGTTACCATAGAGGAGGGCCACAGCAGTTATTTCCGGAGAACAACAAAGTCAAAATAAAGTGACAGATTGGCAGCCTTGGAGACGGGGGTGGAAATTCCTCATTACTATGTCAGGGCTGGTCTCTTAACACAATGGTAACTTCTCCACAAGGTGGACCTCGTTGTTTCGACCTGAAAGGAAATTAGGTTTTGTACCTCGGTAACAATGAGTTTTTCCAGTCAATTCTACTGTCCCCTCATCTTCTTATTATTATATAACTATCTTTATTACCCGGCTTCGCCCGAGACTTGGATTCTTGTCTTGGATTAATACACAGCCTATGCGGAGGGTGGGGGGGATGTGTGACGTCAGCAGGCACACTACGTAACGCTGCCGCATGCGGGTGACATGACAGATGTGACGTCACAGCTCACTTGCCGTTCGAAATATATGCATTATTGCGCCCCCACCCCCCACAAAATACAAAAGTCTATTTTATACTTTCTGCATTGTATACAGTCTGGAAGCTACCCACATGGCAAATTTCAAGTTTGGTGCATGTCGGGAAGTAGGCTAAACATTTGAACAGACACACATTCACAAATTTTCTTTTATATATATAGATTATACATAATATATATTATATCACATATATATCCAATATATTATATATCACATATACAGGCAGACCTCGCCTAGCGCACCAGCGAACTATGCGATTCGTTAAAGTGGTCTGTGACAAAAATGAATAAAATCAAAGCAAATAGAAAGCGCTTATGTGTGAGAACACCGAGCAGCAGCGCTGGCCAGAGAAACGTCCCCACCCCCATCTTTCGCTCAGCCAATGAAAGTTATTGTGTTTCAATAGTAAGCCAGGTGAGAACTCACCAGACCAGGATAGAGTCTCATGCCCCACCTAAAAGAATCTCACGAGAGACATTCAGACTGAGGACATCACTAAGACAATGAAGGTCCTGGAGCTCTTCTCTGAGATTGTCCCGGACTGCGAGCGCAGCATCTCCCACAACCTCATCTCCCACTGCTCCCATGTTGGAGGAGTACCATAGGATGCACTCGTGCATAGCATACATAATACTTACTGATGTCATAATAAATTATTATTAAAATTTCTGAAATAATGTTTACCATCTGTATTATTAGCACGATCACCGATACCTCAATGAAGCCCTATGTTGCTCATACGAAATAAATGAAGCAGTAGTGAACGCATCCCCATATATAAAACGGAATAATGACCCCTTTTAGCGCCAATTTGATTTGCACTCACTTATCTAGGAACGCATCTCGAGCACTACGCGAAGTCTACCTGTACTAACAACATCCCGTAGGGCAATTGGACGTGCAAAAAAAGCTCTTTGAGAGCGGGTAACCACTCCCATCACCTGACCGAACCCAACCTTTACACATAACACCTCACCAACTTGAGCAGAGCACAAGGTCCAGAGTAGAAGTACACAAGCGCAAACAGAAATACACAGCAGAAAATAGCACAAGGACAGCCTGGAGTAGAGTAATCGGAGAGGAGGCATCCACCTCCTCTCCCCACCCTCTCGACGAGCACGAAGAAACCCCTCGCGCTGCACTCCCCGTGAGGAGACGTGGAAATGGACAATAACCCGAAACAAAAAGCGGCGTATTCGGTGCCAATCCCTTACCCTCCATATTTTTAGGAGCAAGGTCTCCTGAGGAGAAACTTGACGTGGGGATGGATGGGTAGGGATTCCACAGTGGACGGTGGCATTAACTGGAAAACAAGTTTTTACCGAGGTACATTTTTATTCCGTAACAATGTCGCCGTCCACTGATCTTGTTATTCTATAAAGTTAGCAACACGTGCAAAAGCTGGTGCGCCGCTGGAGGGGCAGGGTTTCCCTAAAAGACTGCCGCCAAAACCGCCCTGCGAAATGTGGCGTCCTGAGAGGAGACTGCATCCAAGCATCCAATTGATAATGCCAAGAAAGTGTGTGGGGCGACTTCCACTCGGCCATCTTGCAGGTTGCCTTCAACGGTTGGCAATGCTGTGCCACACTCCCTCAGCCGCACGGACAGCCTAACCGTCAAGGCTGGTTTGACCCCTAGAGCTTGGCCGATGAAGACAGACAGCTGCGGTGTATCTCGTTGGTTGGCCGTTCTCAGTAGCTAAGACTTCAGGACTCTGGCAACATCTAGGGATGTGGAGCACCCTCTACTTCTTGAAAGCGTAGGGTGCCGAGCACAGGGTTGGCAAGATGGAACTCCTGTTGATGGTGAAAAGCAGACGCCACCTTCGACAAGAATTGAGGCGATTGCGTCAAAACCATCTTATACGGCTGAAAAACAATATATGGGAGGGTGAGCTAATAAGGTGTGTAAGGCCCCAAAACTCCATGCTGATGTAATAGCTACTAAAAAAAAGGTTTCCCAGGGTTAGGGGTTTGGACGTTGTAACCATCGGCTCAAACAGCAGCCTCGTGAGGGCATCGAACACCAGCCAGTAGCGCCCGGTTGCATCAGCAACCGGGGTTGCATCAGCAACCGGGCGCTACAGCCAGGCTAACGACATCGCCCTCAGGAGCCAAGAGAGGACAGGGGCTGCCCCTGTGCTCTCTAGGCTCCGCAGTTCAGCTTCTCATGAGAGGCCGAGATCACGGCTAGGTCGAACTTCAGTGAATGCTGTCAAGCGCCTACACTAACAAACCGCTTCTGGAGGTGGCTCACTATAACCGAAAGACCACAGGTTAGAGGGTCTAGATGCGCTGAGACACACCAATGCGCGAAGGCGTTCCAGTGCGAGGTGTATACCCTGATCATGGGACGGCTCCTGGATTTTAACAGCAGCATCTGACACTTGGTCGGAGAACCTCTTATCCACTCAACATCCAGGCAGTCAATTGTAAATGCTCCCTCATAGTCCTTGGGCCAGACCAGATATCGGTACCACCCAAGGTAGGCAAAACTTCAATGGTGCCATTTCATTTGTTACACCTACAGAAGTAAAATAATACGTGATAACCTTTCCAAATGAGCAGCTGTTTAAGGTTTCTAGCAGGAAACCTGTTTTTGCACCTATTGCAATCACGCCTATTTGCCCGGACATTGCAAATAAAAGAAATAAAGAATTTCCAAAATGAATGTTTGTCCCTAAGGCATGTATTTTATACATATTCTTGCATGTATTCACGCTCGTTCTTCAATTCCAGTGACTTAGTTAAGTCTGGAATAGATTGACGCGATCTCTTTTCCTTCTGTTTCTGCAGCTTGTTTGCTCATGATCAGTTAGTGGCAGGTGAGGCAAGAACTGGTGGTTCTCTATTATTTCTGTTTAGTAAAGATATCTGAAGTGCTAACTTTACCCTCAATGTATTGTTAATGTACCTGTTAAGATTATTAGTTAAGGCCAGCTACTACAGGCAACAATAATGATTTTTTGTTCAGTTTGTCAATTGATATTTTTTTATATTTTGCTTCTATAAATTGCAAATTTTCATAACATGCCCACAATTATTACCAATAACAAGTTATAATAACAAAGTTATTGGTATTGCTAATAATTTTGTGCATGTTATGAAATATGATTAAAATCATAAAAACTAACCATTTCTATTTTACAAATAGTTAGTTTTTACGATTTTATACAAACTTCGCCAAATAAACAAAGCCTTAAATTAGCGGTGTTTAGTGTCTTTCATCGCAATTTGTCTCTGCATTTTAAGAAATACCCGAGTGGAATTGCATATCATTGAAAAGCTTATTCTCTGGAGCAGATGTCTAGCTTAGCCATATACGGCTACTTACTTTGCTGTCATGGCAATAAGAGGGGGAACACAAGTATAACTCTCAAATCTCATTGCTGCTAGTGTAATAAGAGAGTGCCATCTCCTGCATTATTGTGGGGGTTACATTTACAGACTGATACAGTCCACGGATTATCCATAGTAGGGTTTCTATCTGGGGGAAAGGTGATTGGGCGGATCTAGCAGGGAAGCCTCGTTGGGTTGCACTCCTTCGTCGAGGAGGCCGCTCTCCTCCTTTTCTACAGTTACATGCTAATTTCTTACATTAACATCATGCTAATCTCTCACATTAACGTAGCCACTTCCGTGCCCTCGTCGAGGAGGCCGCTTTCCTATCTTACAGTTACATGCTAATTTCTCACATTAACATCACTAGCCATGGCCACTTCTTTATGACTCTTGGGCTACACCCATTTCAAACCTTTTAAAACCGTCTGCCTCAGCAGCAGACCATGCTTTCCCACCTGATGACGGACGCTTGTGTTGCGCCCGAAACGTCGTTATTTATTATACCTACGTGATCTTCTTGGTTCTTTCGGTAAAGTCACGTAGAAGGGAAGTAATAAAATAATAAAAATAAAACATAA